TCATACTAATAAAAATTAACATACTTTTAATTTGATAAAAATAAAATAAAAATCGTCTCTTTTAATTTGACCGTATAAATTATGTTTCATGTGTAAATGAAATGACATGAACGATTAATCTTTCAAGTTATTAAACTTTGAAGCCAATGCAATGTATGTACATGTGTGTGTGCCTTTTGTATGCCTACAGCTTTGCATATATAGCATGTTCGAGCCCCAATTTAACTTTTATGTTAGATGTATTTTGGAATGGTAAATTGATGGAGAATATCTCCCACTTGTAGTTCTGTACCTTCTCATAGAGGAAACGAATCAGTTATGAAAGTTTTGGAGCCAAATTAAGAAAGTAACGTACACAAAAAAGAAAAGAGTGATGAGTATGGAGAATCCTTTTACTTTGAAAGTGGGTCAAGTATTCACTGGCTTTGGAATTGGCTGTGGCATCGGCGTTGGTGGCCCTTTAAATTTAGGTATCCAGTTTGCCTTTTTTCAGTTTTCTCTCTTCAACCATATCTTTCTCTCTAGACTAGTAGCTATTGATTGAAGAAATACGAAAATAATGAACTTTCGGGGTTTATTTAAACCCAAAGATGGGAATACCGAAAATTCATGTAAAAATGTTATACTTTATGTTTCTATATCACACGTAAATGATTTATTTTGGTGGGAGTTTTGCATAATCTGTAGTTTGCTTGATTGAAAGTTTATGGGATTTTATGTTTAAATTAGTTAATGCATCATCGTGTTTGATCTTCTATATTGTGGTTATGTTTACATTTTTCATAGTTCAACTGCTTCTTGTTATTGGAGAAATGGAGTGATTGACATTGGAATCTTGGATATGACTAATTCGAAACGGAAACAAAAGAAAACATGAGATAGAGCAAGTTTATTATATCCTAAACCTTGTTTAGGTACATGTTTCATGGAGTTTGAATGCTTTCATTGCTGTGAATGAGCATTAATTGTTTTTTGGGATGTAAGAAATTTCAAAATTTTCATTTGGTAACTATATAGTAGAGGGTAAAATACATGGTGAAATTTTTGACGTTTTCTTTGATTAACTTTATTTCTCAATTATATGAAGTCAAGACATGTTTAATCTGATTTTGGGTGAATTCATCATTTCTTTTGCGACCAATTGTTGTTTTAGCTATTTGTCATAGGAAACATCTCTCTGATTTTTTTATTTTTTTTTGGACATGCAACAGAATGGTGTCATAGAAAATCAGTGATTGTGGATATGGTTCCATAAACACTTTTGTTCATCATAACAAACTTTGAATCTAATTTGTGCATCAGGTGCAATACCAGTTCTGAACCAAGTTATGGTTGCCACTCGGGGTGCAACAGATGCTTTTTCTAATGTTGGAAGACACATCAATAATTCAGTAGGTTTTCCTAAGATCTTCGTTTGGATGATTTGGTAACTTCTGTAGTAGCAAGTTTTCTGACATTTCTTTGTCCATGTTGATCCTATCTCCAGTTGAGGAAAGTGGGAGCAAAGAAACTTGAAGCAGGCATTGGTTGCGGAGTGGGTTTTGGCCATGGCGTTGGAGTTGGTAAGTATTCAAATTGAAGTAGTACTGTTAGGAAAAGAAATTAGAGTTTTATTCAATAGATTTTCTAGTATTTTTAGTTGTTTTCTACTTCAGTTAGATTAGTTTAAACTCTATATAAAGAGTGTTTTTGCATTGTAATATGTAGACTTTTGATTGCATCCTATGTCAGCTGCTACATAAATTGATTTTGTCATCCATTTCGATCCAAAACTACATATACTGAAACATATAATGAAACAAATTTGTTTCAAATTCATAGAACCAGTTAATTTTGGTCTATCTCGTCCTCTTTTGACATTTTCTATTAGGATTGTCTCTCTTGTAAATCAAAACGCACCATAGGCAATTATTTTTCTTGTCTATGATGACACTATCATTTTTCCTTGTACTTTTTGCAATAACAACTTCTATGAGTTGCACAAGAGGAAAAGAAAGAATCTAAATTTTTATGAATTATATAGTCAGCATATTCGTATTCATGTTAAAATCCACTGGTTGTCCGGAAGCATGTATTAAGCTTTCATCAGGCCTGAGTCCTGCTTATTAGCTGAAACCAATTACAGCCTTAAGCAGTATAAACTAAATAACACTTACAATAGCTTATAACTGACAGTAAATTGGTTCTATTGTAAAATGAAACTATACAGCCTTTTGTCATGGTATATAATTCCATTTTACTAATGCTTTCTTCTGAATTGTCCATAACATACCTCTATATTTAATCCGAAAAGGCGAAAAACAATTGAAGTTCTTTCTTGGATGGATGAACTAGGATTGAGTAATTACAGTCCGAGTTACTTTATTACCAAGTACAGTTTCATTTTTAATAGGTTGCCATTGCTTCACTCCTTCACCTGTCATTAACTGGTGTTTTATGCATTAAATCTGCTACTCGGGCACATCTGGATTGTTTGACAAGCTAATTGTCCTGTAATTTCATATTTGTACACTTAACCGAGTCCCATTATTTAAAAACTCATTTTCCCCAAACTCATTTTCGATCCCACAGTCTCCCGATAAAATAATTTTGCTAGTAAATCCAAATTTTTTTCCTAATTTTTAACCACACATTCTCCCAAAAACGATTACTACAAATTCCATTTTCCCAAGAAAAGGGGTTCAAGCGAACCCTTAGTTCTCTTGATGCCAGATGCCATCTCATCTATAAATTGGCTGAATGCATCATCTTTAAAATCTCTGCACCATTATCAGCCTTCAAGAACATATTTGAGCTGAACATTATTGTTTGACTTGAGATTTATTTAAAAAATTTAATTTGCTCAAGCATCTTTCTTTGCTCCACAGTTTATGTACTAAACTATTTTGCTGACAATATTAGGAAATAAAGACATGTTTGGTATGCCGTACTAGACCATAGTGGTCAGTACTATGAAGGACATTTTTAACTTCTTTTGCTTATTTACTAACCGAACAAGCCATATGTTTGATCCGGAGAAAGACTTCTTGAATTATGAGGGAATTATTTTTGTTGGAATGCAGTAGTTCACATTCATCCTGACTTAGATTTGAGAGCTAAGATATTGTGATACATTGCAGGCCTTGCTGTGAAGCCTGGTGTAGTGCACAGGATGCAGTTGAGTCTTTTAGTACGTACTCATGTTGTATGCTATCTAGTTTGTAGTACACTGTGAAGATGTCTTTTTCCAATCTGATTTAATCTTCTTATTTTTCAGCAAGCAGTTACACATGTGATGATAAAACTTGGAATGTCTCCTGGCTTGTTTGTTGATCAAGGCATTCTTCCAGCATCTTTACGAAGTGGCTTGAGCATGGTAAAGGAAACCTCACACGACAATCTAATAGGAAGTATGGGTCAGTTGGTAAAATCAATACCAAATAGTACAGAACAAGGCAATATTAGGCAGAGAAGTATAAACGTGGTTTCTTCTCTGAAAAATTTAGCACCTGAAACTGATGCCATAAACACTCAATCTACCAGTCGAGTAGAGAAGGTCATAAGCAACTTCTTGGAGAATCCACTTTTGAAAGAGGAAGAGGGCAAAGTAAATGAGCATGTATGTGAATACAGACCATTAAATTTTCAAACTGTCATATGGTATTTTTACTTTGCAGTAATAACTCAATGCGCCTGTTTTTTTAGTTTTTTTCTTGTGTGGGTCGTGGTGGTGGGGGAGGTGTGTTCTTTTCATATTATGCTTGTTGCCTGTACCTTGACATTTCCTGAAAAGTTGGAACAACTTGCAAAATTATTCAATGAGTATGCTTTGGATTCAGACCCAGTCACAAGAAAATGAATCAAGTCCATAAATTTGTGATTTCGATATGTAGACAACTACCAATCTCATGCCCTTTTGCCCAATGCAGAAGATTGTTGACACAAAGATAGATGAACTGCAACTATATGCTATTGTCATCTTATATTTCCAGCTAGGGCAAGGTTGACAGGCTAATGCAATTACTGTAGTTTTGCTTTCTTTATGTGTCTAGTGAGTTATTAATTCTCTGTGCGTTCATTGAATATAGAATCATTTATATATCGTTTGCAAATTCTTGTGTTCAACGTGGCTGTATATGTATTATGATATGAACAGAAATAAATCTGGGGATAATGCCTTGCGACTTTATTGTCAATCGCCATATCCATAATGGAACAAATGCTATAAACACCTATTAGGCTCTCCTGATGGATGGAACATAGGTTAAGTTGAATTTCATTGCTTCTATGAGAGCTCTAATCAGTGGATTTCACTTGCAGGCTGAAAAGTCGCAATCGCAGAACAACATACTTCAGATGGTACTACATCTTACGTAGAAGCAAATTTATTTTGGAATTTTGTTCCATTCTAGTCATATAAGATCACCCCCTGCGCCTCCCCCTCCCCAGGGCAAGTTAATAAATGTAGTCATTAAAAAATATCTTCAGCTGCTACCTTCAATCTATTTATGCATTTTTTTCCCAATCAACTTTAGAAACTTCCTGCTAATACAAATGACCTCAGTTCTGCTTCTGCTAAACAAAATTTAGTCTTATTTGGTTTTGTAAGCTGAGATTGGTGACTTTTACATGATGAATTTCTCATGCATATAGGTGTTGATGCACCAAGTACTCATTGATGAATTGATGCAAGAAAATGAGAAGCTTTGCCAAATATTGATTGAAGAGTTGAAAGTCCCACCAAGTAAGCTCCAATCTAGCTTTGCAGTTAGTAAGTCCCCATGTAGTGAATGTTTTATTTGTCGAAGAAAACAAAGAAAAAAGTGAATATGAATGCTATACTTGTGTTTTTATCATCTGAGCACTTGACTACAAAATTTAACACCTTTCTTTTT